AGAATCCCCTACAATTTTGACTTGAACCAAATTATTTCTTTGCTTCTAGCATCCCCTATGTGAATCTGCCTGTGGTCAGTCGGAGTCTCTCCATTAGCCATAATGGGGGACACAAAAGAGCAAATGCATGAAAAACAATCTTCACTGGTTCTCTGCTGAAGCACATATTCCTGGATCCATCTTATTTGAACTTCCTTCTTTTGAGGTTTTCCTAAACCCCAACTCAGATATCTTCACTGACTGCCAGTCCATTTCAGAGTCCAATATAAAATACACCTCCTTGTATGGCTGTCACATGGATTTGTTCACCTTTCTATCTCCTCAAACTCCATGCTTCTGTGAAGCAGATCCATTCAATTGTTCTTTTCAAATCCTTTGTTAAGTGAGACCTAGATGGTTCATGGTGCTGGTAATGGCTGAAAGAACCTTTCAGTTGTACGTTACTATTTCAAATGTAGCTCAAAATGGTAATAAGAGAAAGTTGTTACCATTTGGTGGAATGAGTTCAGTGGTGTCCAACCAGTTCCTAGTGAACATGTGTCCACATCACAAAATATCACTGGCACCATCAGTCTCAGCAGATGCGAAGTACTGCAAAGCCCCAGAGACTGAACAACCTTACTCCGAGCATGGCCCATCCAGATCAGAGTTGAGAAATGTTGCAGGATAGCAAAGGGAACCTTGCACTGTGGTTGCCCATGTTGTACCCAGTACATAGCTAGAGAGAGAACTTGTGTCCTCACAACTGACAATCCAGCAACTTCCATGAGTATTACATTTACAGTAACAAAAAGTTTATTCAAATCTCACTCCAAGATTTTAATTGTTGTCCTTCACCCTTTACCCTCATCCTAATAAACCCTTTTTACTTCACGAGACTCCTAGTTTCCCACTGCTTCATTACTTTCCCTACAACTTGGCCATTAAATTCCACTTTAGACCTTCCCTAGCACATCAACAGATGCTACCTATCTGAGATACAATGATCTATAGTGCATATATTAATTTTATTTGTATCTGTATAGTCTAATATATGCAGAAGCTGAGCATGTCCCTTCATTTCTCTGTGTCTCAACTCTCTCCTTTATAAAATGAGGGTCATGAAAACTCTTTTGTAGAGTGCTTGGAGATCAATGGATGAAAAACACTATATAGGTATTATGCAATAATTAGTAATAATAACAACAGTAGTTTTTAAGTGTGCTGTGATACTCTGTATGATTGACTGGATACAGAGATTAATTGTATCTATCTATCTATCTAGGTTCTTATGGCCCCTATCAACATAGGACATTATTGGTTAATAAGTGATTTGCCATACCTTTTCCCATCTTTGTCCTCATGTGTTGTCTTTCTATAAACAGAAACACATATAATACCCTCCTGCATTCCCAGCCTCAGCCAAGATGTCATCTCTTAGTTCTTTACTATGATAGGTGGATATAATTTAAAATTCCTTTGGCAAGTTATCTTCCCTTCACTCAGCTTTCCCTTTTCCCCCTACACAAATTTCTCTAAACGTAGTAAACTCATTTCTAGTAGCTCAGAAAGGAACTGGAGCACTGTCTGAGAACATCTGCCACCCGCTTCAGAAGATAACCTTACTTAAAATTTCAGGTTTGTCCCCAATCCTCTTATGCCAAAATCCTGATGTAATATAATTTGTTCTCATCACTGGTCAAACTATTTTGGCATTAAGTTATTTTGTCTATTATTGACTACATCACAGCTTTCTCCTTGCCCATTTGTTGCTGCTCACTGATAAAGTACAGCAGTGAAACTCCTATTAATACAGGTCTATGAGGCTGTAGATGTGACCAAGAAGTGCAAGATGTGCTATGCAAATGTTTACACAGAAACCTATATAAGTGTGTGACATTGTACTCTATATGATTTTATGAAAATATGCTAATGTAACTGGAATATGCTTCATGCAAAAGGTCTCTTGTAAGGTATCATTACAAAGCTTATAATCTACTGAGTGCGATCATCCTATTTGTATAAATGTACCACTCTTGTATCTGAAACTAGAAATATGAAATATAACTCTGATGGCCTATTGTAATTATGCAAAGGGTGGGCCATTAATGGTGATTTGGAATCTTGATGACTCCCATTAACCAGGACAATTGACTGCAGATGGCTCTGTTTTACCTATAAGTCTCCCTGTATACGCGTGTGCTGGCAAGTGGGTAATGAAGTCTTACAGTGACATGTGATCATGTCACCTAAACTGGAATCCATCTTTAACCTGGTGCTTTTCCATTGGGGGTGGGGGGAACCCAGAGGGACAAAGGATTCCCACCTTATACAAAAGATATATAAATGGGTGGAACAGAACAAAGAAGGCAGCCATCATGAGGAATCTCCTAGCTACCACCTGAGCTGGAACAAGGGCTGTACCAGGGGAAAGGATTGTGCCCAGACTAGGAAGGCATCCAGTCTGTGAAAAAAAGTATTGAAACATCTCTGAGGGTGAGATCTTATCAGTTTCTTACTGTATTAGACATAGACTTGCGAGTTTTATTTTATTTTACTTGGTAATTCACTTTGTTCTGTCTGTTACTACTTGGAACCACTTAAATCCTACTTTCTGTATTTAATAAAATACTTTTTACCTATTAATTAACCCAGAGTATGTATTAATACCTGGGGGGAAGAGGGGGCAAACAGCTATGCATATCTCTCTGTCAGTGTCATAGAGGGCGAACAATTTATGAGTTTACCCTTTATAAGCTTTATACCGGGTAAAATGGATTTATTTAGGGTTTGGACCCCATTGGGAATTGGGCATCTGAGTGTTAAAGGCAGGAACACTTCTGTAAGCTGCCTTCAGTTAAGCCTGCAGCTGTTTGGGGCAAGTAATTCAGACCCTGGGTCTGTGTTGGAGCAGACGAGCGTGTCTGGTTCAACAAGACAGGGTGCTGGGGTCCCAGGCTGGCAGGGAAAGCAGGGGCAGAAGTAGTCTTGGCACATCAGTTGGAAGTTCCCAAGGGGGGTTCTGTGATCCAACCCATCACAAAGTGTATCTAAAATATATCAAAATATACTGAAAATAGGAGAAATGGAAATATATGGATTGAAAAACTTATTAAAACTAGAGAATCTAAACCAGATGTGAATTTTGTGGCATTTCAGAGCCAGACCTGGATCTAAACTTCATGCCTGACACAGATCTCTACAATGAGCCAAACCAAAAGCCTAGACCTAAACACACCATTTACGTTGGACAAATTCAGGTCAGGACACAAGTCCACTTTCACACTCAGGTCCATCTCAAATTAAAACCAAGAAAATATTGTTTTGTCTTGATAAGCTTAGGCAATGACTATAGAGGAAAACCATATAGGGCCTGGTTCACTAGCCTTATTGTTGCATTGTACCTTACTCAGCTGAGACTACTTCAGTACTACTTCAGTATCAACCTCTCCTATTAGACTGTAAGATCTTTGGGGCAGAGATCCATCATTTTGTTCTATGTTTGTACAGCACCTAGCACAATAGGGTCCTAGTCAATGACTAAGGTTCACAGGCACTATGGTAATACAAATAAATAAATCTCCCTTTCCAGGGGAACTTGCTGGAAACAGGGTGGGGAAGGATAGAGTGGGCAGTCATGGCTCTCCCTGGGGTAGTATAGTTCTGTCTGACCCCCAGTGCAGAGTGGTGGCTAAAGAATGCCACAACTGAGTCCCTATTGTTGTGTTCCTTGTCCACTCCCTGTATCTATTATTCTTACTATTATACCCTATCCATTTCTAAGGCTCTGTTAGCCTGGGAACGCTAAGCAGAGTGTCAAAAGTAAAACTATGGTAACTGTCAAATTATAAAACAGCCTGAAGTACAAAATGACACCGAAATTATTATAAAGCTGTCTTTTAAAAATATAAATCTCACACTAACTTAATATAATTGGCAGTTTTATGTTTCTTGTAATTGTTTTCTTACTCAAATCTTTTATATAGGGATTAATTGTCCTCCAGCATATGACAGTGGATTTATCATTTATGAAAGTACATTCTCTCTCTCTAAATCAGAGCTGTGAACCTCGAATTGCCGGGCAAGGGCTAGGACTGGGTGATTCTTTCTTTCCAGGCTGCTGGAACTCCCTCTTGTGAACAAAGTATGACTTCCCTCTTTCAGAACAAAGTAACTTAAAGAAATGGATAAAAAAAATAGCCAGGGGATCAGGCTTGACAGTTTCACAGCATTTCCTATAGTGTTTTTTATTTTTTACTTTCCCTTCTATAAACCCATAAGAAAGGAGCATCTGTAAAGTCAGTTCTCAGATGAACGTCCTTTGTGCTCTCAAAACACAATTCCTCAACACCCCCTTGCCTCCCCAAAAAACACTGCGGAGGGATACAATAGAAGAAACTAAATCGGACAGAATAGCGGGCTGTGGAGTGGAAGGTTGGTCCCTGCTCCTAGTGTCCTACACATTACTTTTGTCTTGGTGCCCATATGGGTATTTCTCATTGTAGTAACATTATTGGGGATATTTGGAGAAAAAGGCAGTGTCCAGGGCCGCTGGAGCCCGTGGAGATTTCACGCCCTTTTCTGCCTCACGCACATTGTTCGGTGCTCTCCTGCTTTCCTCCGGCCAAAGGAAGAGGGAGAGCAATGGCTCCCAGTTTTCACTGGAAGTGCAGATGCTGCTGTTGGGGGTACTGAGAAAGTCTTCAAACCAGGGTGACACCGCATGGCATTCAGGTGCCCCCTTCTAAGAAAGCAGATCGGCCCAGAGACTCCGAATCAGGGGCACAAGAAATATACCCGTGCAAGAAGCTTTAAACCCTGGGAACCGGATTACGAAGGTAGGGGGAACCCAATCCGCGGTCTCAGCCTCTGAGTGCACCCTGGCAAGCACGCCTGGCCGGCTGGCGTTGTACGGGCTGGAGAGAATCGCCCTGTGGGGCAGGTGTCCTGGGGCGGGGGTGCGGAGGGAGGGCGCCCTGCCCTGCCCCGCCCCACAGAGCAGGGAGGAAGCTGGGCGCGGGGAGCCCTGGCCGTGAGGGAGAAGGGGGCCCGTTCTGAGGGGGTCCCCACGTAGGGAGTGTGAGGGGTGCCTGCCTCTGATGCTGGGGGGAGCCCCGCAGAGCGCCTGAGCCGAGCAGGGCTCCCGCCCGGCCGCTCCTCCCGTCGGGGCTGAGCAGGGGGCGGAGGCGGGCTGCCGAGCTGCTGCCGTCACGCGCGCCTTTTCCCTCAGCCCTTCGCCGAGCAGCAGCGGCGGCCCCAGCCCGGCTCCCACGCCCTCCCCAGCCGGGTGGCGGGCGGCAGCGCCATGCAGCCTCCACCTCCTCCTCGCCGGCTCTGAGTCCATGCCATGCTGCTGCCGCCGCTCCTGCCGGCGCTGCTGGCCGCCTGCCTGCCCCCCTGCCAGGGCTGGAGCCCCGCCGCGGCCGGCGGGGGGCAGGAGGAGCCGGAGCTCTTGCTGCCCCCCATCAACTCCTCCTCGCGCTCCCTGGCCAGCCTGGAGCGGGACCTGCGCGGGGTGGGCGGGCAGGCTGAGGCGGGCAGCCCCAGCCAGGAGCCGCCTCCCGCCGCCGCCGGCCAGCAGCCGCCCCAGCCCCCCGAGGAGGCGCCCTGCAACATCAGCGTGCAGCGGCAGATGCTGAGCTCGCTGCTGGTGCGCTGGAGCCGCCCGCTGGGCATCCCGTGCGACCTGCTGCTCTTCTCCACCAACGGCCACGGGCGGGCCCTCTTCTCCGCCGCCTTCCACCGCGTGGGGCCGCCGCTGCTCATCGAGCACCTGGGGCTGGCGGCGGGGGGAGCCCAGCAGGACCTGCGCCTCTGCGTGGGCTGCAGCTGGGTGCGGGGACGCCGGGTCGGGCGGCTCCGGGCAGCGGCCGCCGCCTCCTCCTCCTCCTCGCTGTCCGAGCCCGGCCAGTACTGGCTGCAGGGGGAGCCGCTGAATTTCTGCTGCCTGGATTTCAGCCTGGAGGAGCTGAAGGGGGAGCCGGGCTGGCGGCTGAACCGCAAGCCCATCGAGTCCACCCTGGTGGCTTGTTTCATGACTCTCGTCATCATCGTGTGGAGCGTGGCCGCCCTCATCTGGCCGGTGCCCATCATCGCCGGCTTCCTGCCCAACGGCATGGAGCAGAGGAGAAGCACCGCGGGGGCTGCGGGCGCCACCGCCGCTGGCAAATAACCCCCCTCCCACCCCGGCTGGGGCCGCCCTCCTCAGTTTGCTGGGCGATCCGCTCCCGCGGGGCTCCCGAGACTGGGGCTGGTGGACTCGCTTCCCCTCCCCGCGCGCTCTTTGTAAACGCTTAACCCGGGGTTGTTGTTGGTGGTGTGTGTGTGTGTAGCACTTTAAAGCCTTGCCCAAGTTTCTTGGTGTCCAATGCAGGCGAGTGTGGCGGTCGGGGGGTTGTCTGGGACCTCACGGTTTCTCTGCAATGAATCCTTTGCGGAGCATTGCTCCCTCCCCAGTAGTCAAAGGGATTTGATTTTATTTTCATGTGCCCAAGATTCATAGCAGAAAACGACCAAATCCTGTGTATTTGTTTTCTATATTTAATAGGCGTTTTAAATGGACGTTTTAGTAAAAAAAAAAATAATAATTAAAAAAAAACCCGAAAAACCCTATTCGTTTGCAGTTGTTTTAGTCAGAGTAGCTATTTGTATATGAACAAATTTGTCGTAGCAGTTTTATTTACATCAGACAAATCTTTTCTGGCAGGATTTAAAACTGATATATTGTTATTGCTGAAACTGAACTTTAATGAAACTTTTACAATGTATTTCCCATTTCAGATAATGTGTATTTAATATTGTAGTTCTGCGTTACTTGGCTTTTAATACAGAGATTTTCTTTCTGGAAGTCATGCTTAGCCTTCTGTTGCTCTGTTTCTCCCAGGATGGGAAAGAAGGGTTCTGCAAAATTCCCAGTTCTCCTAGCTGATCGTGAAGACCATCAATAGAAATGAGGGTCTGTTACATGTGTTATTAGAGGAAATGGATTGATGGTCACCCAAAAGCTTTTTCTACAGTGTTTGCCCTTCTTTCAGAATACAAATAATGGGATCCTGCTTCCATTGGAATTAATCTTCAAAACTTCCACTCACTTCAGGATAAGAATCAGTGGTCTAGATCCTTAAGTGGAGTTCACCAGCATAGCTGCATTAACTTCTATGGAGCTGTGCCCATTTACACGTTCCTTGGGGTCTGTTGACTTCAACAGCGCTAGACAAGTACCTACCATCTGAGGATCTGGCCCACTATTTGTACTGTATCCAGACCAGCTGGAAAACAACTCTCTGTGACTCCGACAAAGTGCATGGCTCAAAGCAAGCTCAAATACACTTGCAGAAGGAATTGTAATATAGTACTTCTTTGTGACTATTCGTCTTAAAGGGGTACGGTCAGGTTGTTTAACCCCAAATTTAGGGGTTGGGTAGGGAAGGAATTATAAACCTAGAATCAGATTTTGACTGGCCCCCTGTGTAAAGGGAGAGAGAGGCTGTAAGAAACCTCCTTTCTTGTGTCCCCTACACAGTGGTCAGCCACAACTGATGTCTCTGAAATTTCACATGCCTGAAAAGCTCAGTGTAAATTAAGGAATGATTTTGTTTGAACTTTTTAGCTCTATAAGGGACCATATCCTCTTTGCATTAGCCAAATGAATTGTCCAGCTGAAGTCAATGAGACCAGTTGTGGGAATAAAGCGAACAAGACTTGTGATAAGATTTCTAACTTTTTTGCCAGTGTCAGCATCTTTGATTTCTAGGCACATCTGAGCTCACTCTGATGGCTAATTTAACACGACATGAGCATTTTTGTTTAATTCTTCTAGGGTTTATGTAGATGAGATAAGGCAACTCATATTGGCATGAAAAGTTTGAATGGATTAAATCCTGTTAGAATTCTGTTTTTGTATTTATTTTACTATTTTTAAACAAGTAAAGGACAACATTAGTAAAATAAATGTATGCAATATTTTATACCATATGAAATTTGATGAAAGAGAATGCAGAGAAAACAAAGTGCTGAGCATACTGGATGAAATAGATAAAATAAATAAAATATATATTTAAAAATCTTATATTTTAGGGGTTTATCCTGCAGCTCTCACTCAGACAATAGGTCCACTGAGGTCAATGGAACCTTATTTTAACAAATATAGGCTCCATTCACCATGAAAAATGTTCATGTTACCTATTGATCTGTGGCATTTTCTCCTGTGTAGCTAGTTCACTGAATCCTATCTTTCTGTTCTTGATGTGAGAAATACATTTCCATTTTGTATGGATTATTTTTTTTCAGAAATGAGAAATGCACATAAAAGCAAATATTTGCTTTATGTACCTTTGATACCCTGGGTGACTCAAACCTCCTAAAATATAAATACCGGGGCCCCGGGAGAATATAGCATCTAGGTACAAATGAAGCCATGTCAACATCCTCCCAAATGCGTCTAAGTGCTATAGAGCCTGTACATATAACATAAAATATCTAGTGAAGAGTTACAGTGCCAGCAAGGCATTATTGTTAACAACTGCACACACGTAGGCAGAGAGGGCTAATTACCTTGGGTTGAAATAACGGGCTGATTCTGCAAAATACTGAACATTCTTTTTCTGATCCAACAAAGCACTTGAGCATATGTTTAAATTTAAGATCTTTATGGGCCCAATTCTCTTTCACACCAATTTCAATAGCAAAGCTCCATAGATTTCATCTGAATTTCACTAACTTAAGCAAAAGGAGAATTGGGTCTTATAAAATTACCATTTTTAACAATTCTTCTTTTAACTGATGCCTACAGAAACATATCAAGAATGACAAAAAGTTAATACAAAATAGATATACAGACTATAAAGTTAAGGGTGAGTTCCCTAGCTCATACCACAATCTACTTGAATGCAAATTTTATATAAATGCAGCTCTAATTATCGTATGTTTTGCTGCATCAATAAACAAGTGAGAAAATGGAGAAGAATTTGCTTTCAATCTACCTATATACCTCAACATAAGTAGGGCACTTGTTAAAATAACTTTTGTTATAGTATGAGATGTTAGAATGGATGGATCATGTAAAATCAGAAAAGGACAAATCCTGTTCTTAGCACAAATTAATTTGTTGCGCTCTAGAAAGATCTGTCTCAGATCAAGGAGACAGTGTGGGCTTCTCCTTGGGTTGCAGTAACCTCTGTGGCTAAGTATGCTCCATTCACAGAGGGGAATAGCCAGTGGAACTGCATTGTCGGAGATGCATCTCTGGACCCTAAAACTCCCCTGGCATGCAGGGGCCTTCTGGAGAGCCAAGTTGCATGGGGTACAGAAGATATATACCCATTGTACAGACTGCCAGAATAATTTTCCCCAAAGGGCCTTCTATGCCCATAGAAATGGAGGCAAGATTTGTCCCCTGAAGAATAAAATTTCAAAGCTTGGTATGGTCCGGGCAATACCCAAGATTCTCTGTCATCTTTGGTCCCAAGTCAATAGTAAAGTAATTGATTCTTGGATTTTAAGACAGTAGTGATCATTATGATGAGATAGCCTCCTACATAACACAGCAATAGAACTTCACGCAGTGATTCATGCATCTATCCCAATAGTAGCAATGAAAATGCTCTCTTCTAACTTGGTTCAAGACACTATTATGATTCTCAGTAACTAAGGATGCGGTCCTTTAGTTCTCATTCAGGCAATGCTTTCATCAATGTCGATGGGAATTTTGTCTAAATAAATAGATTCATAGACTTTAAGGTCAGAAGGGACTATTATGATTGTCTAGTCTGACCTCCTGCACAATGCAGGCCACAGAATCCCACCCACCCACCCCTGCAATAAACCCCCAACCTATGCCTGGGCTATTGAAGTCCTCAAATCATGGTTTAAAGACGTCAAGGTGTAGAGACTCCTCCAGCAAGTGACCCGTGCCTTACGCAGCTGAGGAAGGTGAAAAACCCCCAGGGCCTCTGCCAATCTGCCCTGGAGGAAAATTCCATTCCAATCCCAAATATGGCGATCAGCTCAACCCTGAGCATGTGGGCAAGACTCACCAGCCAGACACCCAAGAAAGAATTCTCTGTAGTCACTCAGATCCTACCCCATCTAACATCCCATCACAGGCCATGGGTCATATTTACCGCTAATAGTCAAAGATCAATTAATTGCCAAAATTAGGCTATCCCATCATACCATCTCCTCCATAAACTTATCAAGCTTTAGTCTTGAAGCCAGATATGTCTTTTGCCCCTACTGCTCCCCTTGGAAGGCTGTTCCAGAACTTCACTCCTCTGATGGTTAGAAACCTTAGTCTAATTTCAAATCTAAACTTCCTGATGGCCAGTTTATATCCATTTGTTCTTGTGTCCATGTTGGTATTGAGCTTAAATAATTCCCCTCCCTCCTTGGTATTTATCCCTCTAATATATTTATAGAGAGCAATCATATCTCCCCTCAGCCTTCTTTTGATTAGACTAAACAAGCCAAGCTCTTTGAGACTCCTTTCATAAAATAGGTTTTCCATTCCTCAGATCATCCTAGTAGCCCTTTGCTGTACCTGTTCCTATATGAATTCATTCTTCTTAAACATGGGAGACCGAACTGCACACAGTATTCCAGATGAGGTCTCACCCGTGCCTTGTATAATGGTACTAACACCTCCTTATCTTTACTGGAAATACCTCGCCTGATGGATCCCAAGACTGCATTAGCTTTTTTTCATGGCCATATCACATTGGTGGCTCATAGTCATCTTGTGATCAACCAATACTCCGATGTCCTTCTCCTCCTCTGTTACTTCCAACTGATGAATCCCCAGCTTATAACAAAAATCCTTGTTATTAGTCCCTAAATGCATGACCTTGCACTTTTCACTATTAAATTTCATCCTATTACTATTACTCCAGTTTACAAGGTCATCCAGATCTTCCTGGTACCTCTCTGTATTGGCAATACCTCCCAGCTTTGTGTCATCTGTAAACTTTATTAGCACACTTCTACTTTTTGTGCCAAGGTCAGTAATAAAAGGATTAAATAAGATTGGTCCCAAAACCAATCCCTGAGGAACTCCACTAGTAACCTCCCTCCAGCCTGACAGTTCACCTTTCAGTATGACCCATTGTAGTCTCCCCTTTAACCAGTTCCTTAGCCACCTTTCAATTTTCATACTGATCCCTATCTTTTCCAATTTAACTAATAATCCCCCATGTGGAACCATATCAAATGCCTTACTGAAATGGAGGTAAATTAGATCCACTGCATTTCCTTTGTCTAAAAAGACTGTTACCTTCTCAAAGAAGGAGATCAGGTTGGTTTGGCATGATCTACCTTTTGTAAAACCATGTTGTATTTTGTCCCATTTACCATTGACCTCAATGTCCTTAACTACTTTCTCCTTCAAAATTTTTTCCAAGGCCTTGCATACTACAGATGTCAAACTAACAGATCTGTAGTTACCCAGATCACTTTTTTCCCCCTTTATTAAAAATAGGAACTATGTTAGCAATTCTCCAGTCATACAGTACGACCTCTGAGTTTACAGATTCATTAAAAATTCTTGCTAATGGGCTTGCAATTTCATGTTCCAGTTCCTTTAATATTCTTGGATGAAGACTATCTGGGCCCCCGATTTAGTCCCATTAAGCTGTTCGAGTTTGGCTTCTACCTCAGATGTGGTAATATCTACCTCCAAATTCTCATTCCCATTTGTCATCTTGCCATTATCCCTAAGATCCTCATTAGCCTCATTAAAGACTGAGGCAAAGTATTTGTTTAGATATTGGCCAGGCCTAGATTATCCAGAACCTCCACTCCATCCTCAGTTTTTAGCGGCCCACTTCTTTCTTTGTTTTCTTCTTATATATATGG